TCGCGATCTTTCTGTCCTCATCCTTGCTTCTTCCCACAATGCCACTTGGACCGGTTCTTAGTTGTGGGGCGTATCTTGTGTTTTCTGGCTTGACAGTTCCTGAGTGGATTGGACCCGGGTAGAAGCTCTCTGAAGTGGTTTTCTCTTTAACTGAATCTATACTTCGTAACAGCTTTTTGTAATTTTGTAATTACAGTCGGCATGTTTATTTACATAAGTAGGGACTGTAATTACAGTTAATTAAAATGTATAATTACTTAATTAGGATTCATAATGTGGACTAAAAAATAGGCTGTATGAGTGAGCTTCAAGGCAGATGTTTTCGGTTAACAGCACTGGCTGTGACTTTGTCTCTGTTGTGGAGGGAAAGAAAGTCAGTCTGAGTACACAACCGAGAAGTGAGTACTGGAAAAACGATGCTGCTGGCTGGGGGAACACCTCCCCCCCCCCCCCCCCCCCCCCAAGAAGGAAGGAGGTTTTAGTAGCCTCTAACTCAAACATCTTGCGAGGCAAGGCTGGCAGGAATATCCGCCTACTCCTGGATACGCTTTTTTCTTGCTGAGTGAGAAGCTGCTGAGCTGAACAATACAGATTTACATGGAATACTGTCAAGTTAACTGTGCAGAAAAAGTGAAAGCTCCCCTTGAGTGCACGGAGTTAATTTTATTGGGTGTTTAGCAGGCTCTAATGAGAACCAAGAGACCTATATATCTTCGCAGGTGGATAACTTTCTGGCAGGCCCTTGATTGCAACTAGATTTTATACCTTATAGACCCGAAGCCCTGCCAAGGATGTATCCCCAGGGAAGCACACGATGCAAAAAGGTTCTGCAAATGCAACACTTCTCTCCTTGGTCTTTAGAAAGAACCAGAAATGGAAAATTCTGCTGCCCCTGGCATGGACTTCAGTGACCCCTCTGGGAGCTGAAGAGCAGAGAGCAATTTTGGGGCAGCTGCAGATAAGGCTGTGTCCTGCAGATGCACCTAGGAGCACCATTAACCTTTGAGGAGGGTGAGGCGGGCACACCCTGGCCTTGGGGAGGTCTGCTGCCCACAAATGGACAATGCTGTCTTCCTTAGAAATGCTTATGTTTCAAACAAGCCCATGTTAGAGAGCTATTTCTAGAGGAAATTGGAAATGGTGCCTGTTTTACTAGTGTGGACTGTTCAGCTGGGGTGAAATCCTGGGAGAAACATCCCCAGCTCAGCCTCTGCAGAACAGAACAAAGGCAGGAGAGCAGGGGCAGAGGTTCAGTAAAAGCATCTGCTGGAACTGCAGGCTCTGACAGCTGATTAAGATCTTGCTGACCCTTGCCTCTCCCATGCCCCTTGGGGAGAAGAGAAGTTAATGGGGTGGAAGACTGTGCCAGAAGGCTGAGGGCTCTGCAGGTCAGGCGGATACCTTGTGGCTGAATTTGCTCAGGCTGCGGAGCTCCCTGCAGGGGGAAAGCATGTAGGCTGCAGAGATCGCGAAATATCTGTCTGCGCGCAAGAGCATGCAAGTGGTGATGTGAGCAGAGCTGCTCTCTGTGGCCTGAGTCAGGCTTCCCCCCGGCACCCTGCTTTGGGAGCACCTTCAGGCTGCAGGAACGAGCGTCTGGTGTGTGAGAAGTGGTCACTGCAAGCATCGCCTTTGACTTTCCCTCCTTTACTTTCAGTAGGTCTGATTCACTGTGTACTCAAGTCGCTCTTCCTGCTCCTGCAGCATGGGATGGCCTCGCTACAAAGGTGCACCTTACAGGCAGGACCAGAGCATCTCTCCTCACAAAAAAAAGGCAAATCTTTATAGATTTGGACCCACTGTAGCTAGAGCTAGCAGCCAGCACCATGCGGAGTCCACAGTGAAAAACCCAAACTCATGCTCAGCCCGCAGGTAATAATGGCAAAAGTAAACATGCTCTTGGTAGCAAGAAAAAGCCTTTAGCAAAACTGCACTGAACAAACACAAAAGAAAACACACGCACATCATCTGCTTCTGGTGCTGAGGAATTGTCTGTAGTCTCAGTATGGGAACAGGACTGCCAGGAGAGGGGTCGCTGCCAGCGCATAACTGCCGTGCGCTTTGCAGAGCAAAAAAAAACAAAGGAAAGAAAGGGAGAATGAGGAGAGTCATTCACGATGGGATTGCTTTGAAAAGACTAAAATCTGCTTATTGGCATGACGTTCTACATCTCTGATGGCTGTTGACTGGAGAAGCAATGAGTTGTGTAAATTAAAATCCAGTTAATTGGCAAAGGGAACTTTAGCCTAATGACACTGAACTGCAGCATCTCTTACACTGGGAAAGATGTTTAGCCAGTTGCAGCCCACAAATGTGCAATGCAATTGGCACAGTCGGCATCCTCCGCTTGAGAGAGTGGGCAGCTGTGAACAAAGACTCGCTGAGTCTTTGTGCGCCTTATCTGCACTTGGGCACCAAAGAAAAGCAGCAGCCCATAGAGACATCTAATGCTGCTGGGCCAGAGACCCTCCTCTAAGCCTGCAATTTTCCCCTAGTCCCAAAGCCCACAAGCACAGGGCAAGTTTGTTCCCTTTTTTGTTTGTTACTCAAAACGCGTTCTGATTCAACTCTTCAGCTTTGCTTCTCTAGGCATTTAAATACAGTTCTCGTGGGGGTATGCTGGATGCTAAGCACGCTTGGAAATCCAGCGCTTTGACTTTGGTATATGGTTCAACAAGTATTATTGCAGTCAGTCTGTCCGTTGCCTGAGCTACGTAGCAACCTGCAGCACCTGCTGACCCTCCCAGTGCATACCTGGGGTATAGGGGTGTTGCATTTTCGGTGACTTTCAAGAGGCCACCCTGGGTGGCCTTTCTTAGCGCCCAGAGCTGCCCGTACTGTCAAGTGCTTGTATCCCTCTTTAAGCATTGAAGGGTGGAATTTAGGATGTCTGAAAAGAGTAAAGGCTTGAGTAATGACATGGAAGAAACTGGAAATGGAGGCCTGCAGCTACTGCTGCTGAGGGATTTGCTGCTTTAAAATTGCTTAGATTCCATGACCTTTCTGCTGAGGAGGAACTCGCTGTAGAAAGAGAAGGGTGGAAATTCACACTGGAGAATCGGGGTGGAAAAATCACCCTGATGGCGCTGGCAAGGGCTGGACTGTGAAGGAATGGAATTAGCAGTTGGGTAATTGCACTGAACAAATCTGGCCCAAAAGGAGAGTTTTCAAAGCAGGTTTAACATATGGTGTCAGAGTCCCGGTGTGCGATTTATCAGGTTACTGCACTCTCCAAGTTTGTCAAGGGCATCTCCTCCACTGTTAAAGCAACAGCAGGGAAAATAAAGCCAGGATAAGCGATTTAAACGAATATTAAATAGTCCCTTGCCTCCTCAAACAATTGAGCTTCAGGGGGAAATTAAGCTATTTACAAATCCTGATCAAATTCAGGAGATAATGTTGGTTGAAGAAAAGAAAAGTTCATGTATTTAGTGAGTAATGTTTGCAGTAAGTAAGGGGCTCTTAGTGGGTAAGAATAGAAGTGCAATGGGCTGTGAAAAGTTCTATTCGAGCAAGCTTGTCCCAGGAGAGGCAGAAGATGTTAATAGCCTTGAAACCTCATCGGAATAATGGGTCATTCATACTGAAGGTAATGGATTCAATCTGGAAAAGAAGGGGGGGTGGGGATAGTCTCCCCTAAGCCCTGTGTAGCTTTTTTAGCTGAGTAAAATGAAGGCTGAGAGGAGAAACGATTGCAGGTTATAAATGCACTTAGAAGGACTAGAAGGAGAAGAGCAAACTCCATAGAGAGGAAAAACTCCTTGAAGGAAAAAGCTATGCTGACACAAGTATACTCCAGTATAAAGTGTATGTGAGAAGAAAATTAGGATGTTACGAACCACCAAAACGAAGCCTCTGCTGCAGCTTGCTAACTTAGGGTCTTGGGAGTCAGAAATCTAACGATTTAAAGATGATAAAGGCATGAGGAGGGTGATACGCTGATTAGCAGAGATAAGGCAGGACTGCATCTGAACATCCAGAAGGTGCTTTTCAGTCAAAAGTGTCTGAAAGAAAAGTCCTGTGACCAGGGTGTGAGCAAGGTGCTTCAGGAACGTTTTGTCACTCCCATACCTGTTTTTCTATCCCTAAGCCAGGCACGTCTGCAACCCAAGGGGCAATCTATTACAAGCCTTACCTCCTGTCAGTGCAAACAAACAGTGTAGTGTCACATGCTGGAAAGCACTTAGGGGAAGGGTGTTCGCAGCATTCTCAAATCCTGCGGTGAAAGGCACACCGTGCAGGCAGGTTCCCATGACTGAAACTGGTTCTGCAGGATCCCAAGAGCCTAAATTACAGCATGCACAGGAAAAGGGGAGGGGAAAAAAAGTACGTGCAATCCTAGTACCTGCAGACAGTAAGTTTAAGGAGGTTTCTAGGATCCAGATAAGTGTATCTGATTGTTTAGCTGCCCTCTCATGGGATAGTAGCACATGTCCAACTGCGCAACCCCGTCCTGCTCCCTCATGGCTCTTAGTGCCATCTTATGAAAGGGTTTGTTAGCTAAACTCTAATCTTACTGTAGTGTCCTTGATTGCTCTTGGATAGCTGCTCTGTAGGGGACTTTCACACACCTGGGTTTCCTCTTCAGTCGTCTTCTGCAAAGCTTGGCGGGGCAGAACGTGAGGATTACTTGTATTTTCCCCTGCTGTACCTCAGGCCTGTCAAGGTCTAAGAAATTGCTGACAACTTCAGAGCTGGGGCGTTTTTTTTTTTTAATGGGGGAAGGAGTTGGATAGAACAGGTTCAGCTCCTTGCTGCAAGCAAGACGGTAACGCTGTGCTGCAGCAAGCGAGACCCGGCGGCCCTTTAGCCACCATTACATCAGCTAGTGACTTCATCTGGACTGCCAGAAGAGAGCAAGTGGGCGCCGTATTTAACAGCACGCGTGGCAGGCTGCCCGTCTGGGCCAGGCTGCAGCCGGTGGCTGGGATGCGAGGCCAGCCCGGGTCACAGCTTGTCTCTGCCTGGGCTCCTTCTGGTCCTCTCTCTGTCATCTTCAGTGGCAAACTGCTACAGCTTGCAGATGGGAATTGTTGTGATGCTGGGCCGTTTCCCTGTGAAGGTAAGGGACTGTAAGAAAGTGTCCCTGGTGTGCCTCGCCGAGCCAAACTGAGCACAAGCTCCTTTGGCTGTGGTCTGAGGGACAGGGCTCCTACTGAACAGGGCTTTCTATGCTGTGCTGTCATCCCGGTCCCTGTAGCGTTCCTCAAGCTGCCAAATCGGGTTCATCGTGCAAGAATCAGCCAAAAAGAGTGGTTCAGCCTCTGGTATTGGTTCCTGTATATTTGCACAAATGCAGCACAGCCTGATCGTCTGGCAGCGGAGCCAAGCTCCGCATTTCCCTTCCGCCCACTATGTCCTCGTGTTTCAGGGCCTCACCAGCCACAGCTCTCCCGGTTCAGGCGAGCCCAGATCACAACTAAGCTGTTAGGCAGCAGCGTGGAGCCCAGCACGGGACCAGCTGTGCCTTGGGCTCTGTGCCGGCCAGTGCAGCAATTGCGATGCTGCAGGCTTTGTCCCATGTCCCAGACACTGTCCTGCATGCTGGCTGCCACCCACGGGGTAATTTCCCTGGAGCTGCATCAAGGCTGTGATTTACTGCAGGGTGTATGGGTACAACTGAGGGAGGAATGCCCTCGAGTCTCCTGAAGGTGTCTCTCCCTTTTCCTTTCCTGGGATTTAGTAGGTCCTCAGCAACTTGCAAGGGCAAAGAGTCAGCCGACAAAGTGACAAAATGAACTATGTTTGGGAATGGAAAAGAATGAACATAATACTAATTGCTCCTTAACAATTGTTCTTCTTTGACTCGTCTCCAAGAAGAAATCCCTCAGGATATCTTTGCACTGGAACATGATACAGTTAATGAAACAATTTTATCCCTGACGTCTTTACATTCTACATTTATTAGGTGATTGATTAGAATCCAGGGCCCAGCCCTCTTCTGACTGTCAGTCCTCTGAAGAAGCACAAAAACACGAGCATCAAATAACTCTGCATCTTACAAGTCACCTGTGAGGATGGCAGTCATAAACTGGAAGGTACAGAAAATGGAAATACCCTGCTCAAGGTTAGCACTGAGAGTTGCCCATCGCTTCTCACAGTTACGGCATCCAGTGGAGTCAGGACACATTTCTCTCTGCTCCTCTGAAGCAAGAGATGAGAAAACAGGCTGTAGAACTGACTGGCTCATTACATTTCTGTGCTGTAATAGTACTTTTCCTTTCCAGGCTTTAATTTAGCTTAGTCTCTGGCCCTTTGCTTTATATCCAGCAGGATGTCTGTTCTTATGCGGGAAGCGCAAGGTGTCTGAAGGAAATTACTGTCATGAGACCTCATGTTTCCTAAGACACGGGAGGGCGGGGAAAGCAGATGTGCGTTCACAGGACCTGTGAATTGTCACCCTTTCCCTTAGAAGTCTTGGTATTTGCTTATCTGGAGCAAGAGCCTCTGGTTTCCACGGTGTGCGAGGCATGGCTTCTTGCTCATGCCCCAGACCTGGGGGAGGTGGTACAGTCTCTGCAGAGAATTGCCTCTCATTGTCTCTGCTTGCTTCATATGGTGCCAGCTGCTTTTTAAATAAATGATTGTATCAGGTTATTATAGTGGTTCCTCTATTCAATTCCTTCTACAGAGAAACTCGTTTTCCTGAAATTGCCTTCTCTCAACTCTATAATCATTACCTAGCAAATTGCCTCGGGAGAGAGGCTGGAACAGGGCAGCGGCCAGTTTCCACTTTGCATGCGGGAGGCGGGGGGAGATGCATCAGGCAAATCCATGTTGGGCTGCCCCCGGGACGAGGGCTGCTTGTGCCCTGGGAACCGCACGCCACAGCGGGGATCCTGTTCATGGAGGGAGTCTGGCACAGGGCGGCGTTCAGCTGGTGAGAGGGTGCGCAGGGCTCAGCATGCAGCGTGACCCAAGGGGTAGCTTCCCAAAAATATTTTTCTCTCCCGCTTTCAGTGGATGAGGCTGCCCACGCTACACATCCCCGCCCAAAACCTGAATCCTACCAGCTTGATCCTGGTGTAATGGAGCAAGACTGAGAAGTGAGCGAGTACTCACTGATAGCCGTAATCGAAGTACAGGCCGCGTCATTCAGAGCGAACCTAGAGGCTGACAGCCTGCCTGCTCCCGGCAAGAGGCTGTCTGTCCAGACTTCTGGACAGAAAGGGAAGGACGGGCTAACCTGATGTTTGTGGAAGCTTTTAGGTCACCCCTTTCTCTCTTGCCTGCAGCAACCTCTGGGCTTCCGAGTCGGGTGTCAGAGCAGAGCCAAACCACGAGGCAAGGCGGTCCAGAGCGGGTACCGGGAACCAGCAGCTCTGACGGAGGCAATTTACTCTTCCTTTCTGGGCATTAGTGGTCACATGAAGCAGCCTTTTCTTCTGCTAGTTTTGAGCTGCTTAATTTGTTTTACAGAGAACTTTATTCACTGTCTTTGGGGTGATCGCTTCAACAATAGAGGATATGAAAGAAACCATTACAATGAGCACTACAGTGACAATATGTCAAGTTTAGAGTAACAAGTTTTTACTCCATGGAACTGTCCAAACAGGACTGGATGTCTATATGAAATACGGAAAGACGTGCGATTCCATTAAACAGGGTAAATGCATACAGGATATAAACTATCTTCTTTCATGTCAGTACATCCGACTGCCTGAGGTTAAAAAGAGTCTTAGTGAATAATTTCCCATTATGAGGTTTGGGATATCGACCTCTCTTGGAGACAAGATGCATGGTGAGAGGGGTGGTTAGTCAGATCTGGTCTGGCAGGTCTTATTTCTTATGGTGACTTGAGTGTGATGTTTTGTGCGTCCGAGATTAAACTCCACCATGACTGCAATGGCAGGTCTAGGGCAAGCTGTGTCACCCTCCTTCTAGAGATACCTAAACCCTGCTAGAGATGGTAATAAATGGGGATGGGGACAGGCAGATAGTGGTGAAAAAGGGTTAGGAAACACTTGGGGGGTGTGGGGGTTGGAAGGCTGTTTGGGAGTTTATTATTAATTTTTTCTAGGGTTGTTTTTTTTGTGGTTTTTTTTTTTACCACAGCATCACTGCTGGGAAAACACAAGCCGGACATCCAGAACACATCCATTATGAGATTTGGCAGACTGCTACCAGGATTAGGCAGGTTTTAGGCTGTTGCTTTTGGCCATTTCTCTCATTACAGGCTTACAGCAGCTGCCTTATCTCACAGAGGAGCACTTTTATTAGATAGGAAACTAAAGGGAGAAAGAGAAGAAATGAGGTAAGGAAGAAAATGACCCAACAGAGGGCAAGAGGCCTGGACAAAGTGATGTCCTGAGGTGGTGGCCACATTGCCTCGTTCTGTTTTGCGAGACAGCCCTGGAGAGCTCTGGGCACAGCCCTGTTTAGGCCAGGGTGGGAGCAATCCAGGGATTTTTGTCAGCTTTCCTGCAAAGAAACACCAAGCACGTGCAAACCACGGCAGTGCAGCGCGCAGCAGCACCCCTGGGCAGAGCAAGGCAGATGCAAACCTTCCCTCTGGCAGCGCTCTGGATTTTCAGAGTTCTTCAGAGCTGCTGATGTGAAACCTCCTCGGGGTGCTGCTGGGAGCGGTGCCTGCAAGGCTGCTGCTTGTGGCCTGGCAGAGCAGGAGAGGCTGAGGTCTCCTCCTGTGCCTATCCCTGCAGACCCCGGGAGCTGGATGGGAGGTCCTGCTGTTGCAGCTGTGCTAGCGCTGGGGCTGTTGCACTTGTGTGCTCAGAACATGTGTTTTTCTCCCGCTCCTCGGTTAATCCGTAGGCGCGCAGCCTCCTGCTGCTGTTTTTTCCCATTGGGTACCAGATCGCACTGCGCCCGGGGCACAGCTCTGCTGTCCCTCTCAAATGCAGTACTTGCTCAGAAAGCGATGAGCTGCCTCTGCCCAGTGCTGGGCTCTCATCGTGCCGTCTGCCACTGCACCAGCTCCCCTCTGCACCCAGTTTTATGCCACGATTTCTACCAAGCAGATGGAAAGGGGAGGAAACCCCGACAACTCCAGCTACTGGATTAAATGATTATGTCTCATTTACTGCCCCCCTCTGCCCCCTGGCCCTAGCTATTGCAGAGCTTTTTGCTTTAGCAGTCCGGGCGTATGAGATTGAATGTGCTTTCGTCCTAGATCAAATGAATCCTGCCTTGCTTGATGTTTACTTGGCTGCTTTTTATTGGGTCTTGTCTTCCTGAGTTCCCTGGGGTAAGTCCAGAGGTCTTTCAGGCTTCCAGGGTTTTGCATCGGTAGTCTGCAACTTCACACTTCAGTGCTTCGTATAAGAACTTAAACACTGGATCTCCCCCAGAGTACAAAACAGGAGCTCACATACTGTTTTCCAAAAGGCAAGCTGGCTTGGCACCTGGTAAGCAACAGACACCTCAGCTTGGATGCAGTCTGAGGCATTGAATCCAGCAAATACTGCTGGGAGCTCCCAGTGCTAATTAAAACTGAAATACTGTTTTGCTCCTACCAGGGCTGTCCAGCTGCGACAGTCTGAATGGCAGAGCTCAGAGGCTGCAGGAAGGATTTTAAAATGTCTGCTTGAGCCAAGAGGCAGAACCTGTATCGACAAGAGAGATGCTTTAAATCCTGATGAGTGAAACCGATTTTTTTTTTTCCTAGCACTGTTTTGGAGGCTTAGGGTCCCTCTGGCTAAATCCCCAAGGAAGAACTCGGCTTCTGTGTGGGAAAGGGTGGAGCAATCTGAGCACAGGCTAAAACAAAGAATAAGCGATATTCAGCAACTGGCTGTTAAAGCTGCTTTGAAAACTTCATGTATTGGGCATATGGGCTAAAATTCACCTCAGGGTGAAAGCTTGTTGGGAGGAGACTAGTTCTCGATCCATTTGTCCTGCACCCAGCACAAAAGGGCACAGTTTGTGATGCTCCCACAAAACCACAGGCAGCAGCTGCAATCTGTATCCATAAAGTCCCTGGTAATGCAGAGCCTAAGAGCTGCAGCATCCAGGCAGCCCCTTTTCCCAGGCGGCTCTGTAGTCGTATAATAGACTGCTGTCGGGAAGCAGGCTGCGAGACCTGTGGAGCAGGGGACCTTGTGAGAAGTGGCCAGCTCCAGAAGAGCCGAGCTCTGGGCTTGTTCTTGATTCATATCCCAGCTTGGAAATGCCCAGCAGCCTCCGAGTTGAGTTTGGAGAAGAATGCATCAGGGACGGGTGTTCAATATGCAATTTTACATGCCAATAAGTTACCCTTTCTTGCTAATCTCAGCAGAACTGACTGAATAACTGGAGAGAATTTTTGCTTGTTACTGCGCAAGTTCAAAATGTGTCATTTGACAAACTGTAGGCCAGATCTTCGCGTTGCTGTGCATAGCCATGACTTTGTCAGCTTTGGTGTTACAGCAACAGGAGCTAACATCTGGCTTGTTGTTCTGCTTATACTCTCAGGTGGGAAAGGGAAGTCTGTTTCAATGGGAATAAGTTAGAAAAATGACAAAGGAAACGTCTTATGCTTCATAGCATCTCTGCCACCTATCAGGTATTCGTGTAACACATGGGCATTTCAGCGGTTGTCAGCGTCTGTAATCACTACTGCTTTTTTATTTTATTTTTCTAAAGAACCACAGGAAAATGATGAAAACTAGGAGGAAAAAGCTACAGTGCTGTTCTCCTTCCTACCTTTTACATCTGTGTCAAAGCTGAATTGTGAAAGCTTGCTCGTTTTGGTCACTATTTTCTTATTGCAGGCAAGCAGAATTGATAGAAATATTGATCTTCTTTTAAGGAGTTTTAAAAGGAAAAAAATGAGCGTGACTCAGAGTAGCGAGGTAGAATAGACCGATTGGTGTGTCTTATTTTTTTAACTGCTACTGATGTATCTTTTTGGAATTTGCTCTGTTCTATCACTTTCCTTGCACAGACCGATACTTGCTCGTTGTGTTTTGTTGCTTGCGGCGAAGGTGTTTGCGTTTTGCTGGCTGTGGTCACAGCTTGCGTCTTCATTGCAAAGGTCGGCTTTCCGACAGCCGCAGGGGCATGGGATGCTCGGAGGGGAGATGACCTGAACTGGTCCTGCAGCGACCTGGGGCTGGTGCTTGGCAGCAGGGAGGAGAGCCCTGGGGGAGTCCTTCCTCTCCTCTCCTCTGAGCCCCAGAACAGGGCAGCTGTCAGCAAAGGATTCTCAGGCTGCTTTCCGCACTCCTCGGCTGTTGCCTCACGTTTCCCACCAGTGCTCCCTAGTCCTCCAGCACCATCTACAGTCCTCCGTAAACTGAAGAGATGCTCCAGTGCCACCAGGTACGGCCCAGCCACGACCAGGGGAGGGTCAGCCGCTGAGCCAAGACTGTGATTTGGGGGATATCTGCAGCCTTGTCCCTTGCCTCTCAGCTTTCTGGCCTAATCGCTAAATGAGATAGGGGGCCTGGAGGAAAAAAAATCCAGACCAATCAAAAAAAAAACCAAAAAAACCCTCCAGTTTTCACACCAGCTGGGTGGTTGCAAGGCACCGGGCTGTAAAAGGAGCCCGACCTCAGGGAGTTGTAACCGGCATCTCAGCCCAGGTCTTGAGCAGCGTTCCAGCATGCAGCTCCCGTGGTGCTGGCGTGTTTGCCTGCTCTCCAGGAGCTGGCAGCCACACATGCTGCTCAGCACAGCTTAGATTTGTGGCACAGCACACACAGTGCTGTTCATCGACAGCACGAAACCTCAGCCTGAACCTGCAAGGCAGGGCTATCGTGAAATATTCATGGGAGTTTCCTGGAGTAAATAGCATTAAAAATTCATTGATATTTTGAGCAACGAGCCATCAGCTGTATCTTTCGGGGATGGAGAAGTATGTAAATAAGAAGTCTGTCTTTCATGAGACAGCTATTAAGTCTGCTTCAGCTGCCTTTTGGTTTTGAGGCATGCTGAAATCGATACTTGCTCCCATCTCTCCTGGAGGGGAAGTTAGGCTTCTAACTCACTTAACTGGAGAAGGCCATCGTAGTATTTCTGGATGGGGTATAATCAGCCAGAGAAAGAGTCAGCACAGCCCGTGAACTGCCTGTGCAGACAAGGCTGTGTGGTGTGCTGGTAACCTGGGGCTCTTCGCAGGGACTCTGGGTGCTTCTGCCGTAACAGGAATCTCTGGTGGTGGTGATGATCTCTGACCGTGCAGCTCACCGCCTGGGTCTAATTTACATAACGACTTTTGGACTTGTATTTGGGTGTTGGGAATTTGACAACTTTTACAAACTTGGCCACGAGTCTGGAGTGTTTCTGTTCAATAGTGAGTAGCAGGGGTCGTGAGCAGACTAGGATGGTCTCTAGTGCCAGGCAGGCAAGGGGCAGGTTCATGCACGAGGCGAGTTGTGTGTTCCCCTGCCCGGTGCCCACAGCTGCCGGTGCTGCTCTGAGCTCGGCCTCTGCCTCCAGCCAAATGGGTTAGCGGGAGGCAGCCTGGTGATAGCTCTCTGCTAGGGCAGCTACATCCACCTCTACTGTGGGCTGTGGCTATTTCGTCTGTAGCTGGGGCCTCCCGGAGCTCCGGCATGGTTTCCCCCTCACTTTCCCGGGCAATGCAACGGAGTTGATCCTGGTGCCGTCCCTGCCCAGTTCCCTGTCAGTGCAGTGTGCCAGCTGGGGACTAGCAGCGCTCATTGACTGCGGGTGCGACGACTGCGGTGGAGCATCTGCTGGGTCAGAGGAAAAAGAGCGGATGCAGCAGCACAAGCGATTTCTGTTCCACCTCTGCTGTGAGAGCTCTGCACTGGTAAGAAAAGCGTCTCGTGCCCCAACATGGGACAGCCGGTACCCAAGCCACGGGTTAGAAAGTCTTCCCTTCCCGCAGGGTGCCAGCCAGGCATCTTTCAGCAGCAAGAAATTACATGGACAGAAGCTGAACTAAGAGCTGCTGTTTGACCTTTATTGCTCTTTGTGTGCTACAGCCAAAAGACCACAGGGAAAATCCAGCACACAGGGAGGTGAGGCTGTTTCCCTGGAGGTCTCCGCACATATGGGGTGGGGTGGGGAGGGCCTTGCTGAGTGACGGGGGCCCACCAGCCCTTGCCAGCACATTCCCAGTGCAGCTTGCGGGTGGGAGAGCCATCCTTTACATGTCACAGCTGGCAGGCATGTGGCTTGAGATGTGAGGGTGATAAAGAGCAGCTGTAGGCTGTCTTTTCTGATCTTTTCCCAGCTTAGGACATTTTGTTCCCCGAGGTCTTGTCTCCCTGAATGTAACCGCTAGCACGGAGCGGTTGGTTGGCAGCCTTTCTGCCGCCCATGCTGAGGTCTGTCTGTGCTTTGGAGCCCACCGCCGGCTGGGCTAGCTGCCAGCCTGCAGCCCCCTGCTCGCACCGATGGCCCGGAGACTGCTGCCGCTCCACAGCAGCGCTTGGCGTTTCTCATACAGCAGCTAAGCAAAGTAATGGGAGGGGGAAGGTAGGGGGGGGGGCAGCAAGTGGAAGATGGGGTTTGGGGGT